GTCTGATCAAGATTCAAATGGTGAGGAAATATTTTGATTGTATTTTTGTGATTTCCCTCTTGATTCTTGATCTGAGCAATGTAATTATTTTTAAAATGTTAAGGGGATGTAAGTGCTTTGGATGATGAGAATGTATGTAACAGTTCTCTACTTGCAACTCCAACAGATGCTGCTTCTGGTGAAGGTCAGTTTATTTGTTCATGTTAACTATTGGACTTTTTCCTTTCTTGCTTTATATAATGGTTTTGGTTTCTGGTTGTTGTTAGATCTCTTGTGCGGTAAGCTTAAACTTCCTTTGTTTTTTGATCATTTGATGTAGGATTGTCAACTTCTATTTTTGATGTGAGGTTGTCACCAAAGAAGGCTCTCCGTGCTGCAATGCTGAAAACTCGTTTTGCAGACACTATTTTGAAAGCTCAGCAGAGGGCACTACTTGATCATGTAAGTTTCTTGAAGGGTGTATTTTGAGTGTCGGGAATTTTGCTTGCATGTTGTCTTCTTAGTGATAATATGTGATGTCTTGTTAAACAGTGTGATAAAACTGATCCAGTGAAGCTGCTGCAGGAAAAGGAAAGATTGGAAAGAAGGCAGCGTGAAGGTGATCTTTGAAGCTTCTTTGTTGTAGTTCTTTACTATTTTTTTTGGCAAACTGTGCATTTAATACCTAAACTATCAATTTCAGTCCGTTTTAGTACCTAAACTTTCATTTTTTTCAAAATCAGACTTAGCGTTTAGTTTTCATTTCATTTTAGTATCTTGTTGTTAAAAACTTAATGTGTTTAGTACCTAAACTATCAGTTTTGATCCATTTTAGTACCTAAACTTTCAATTTTTCCAAAACTTAAAATTAAATTTTGAACATGTACTAAAATGAAACAAAAACTGAACTTTAGGTATGTCTTTGAAAATATTGAAAGTTTAGTTATTACAACGGATTAAAATTGATAGTTTAGGTACTAAATGCGTAATTTGCCCTTTTTTGTAGTGTTTAATGTTGATCATTTTTATCCTTTTGATTTCCCCCCTTTTTTATTTTTTCTGCTAAAAAAAACTTCTAATTCTCTCCTTAAATGGAATTAAAAGGACGAAACTGAAACTCTTTATTGGTGTTCTTTAGAGATTATACGGATTTAAAATTACTTTTTTACTGGATTTTTTTACTTGCCAATTATAGGTTTAGAAATCCTTTAATCTGTGAATCGGCTTGTATTCTTGATTGTCTCCCGGTTTAATCTTATATGATGCAATATCTGCCTACTTATGCTATAATTATTTTTGATATCATATTGTACAATCTCTCTTTTTCCGTCTTTGGTGTTCGGGTTTTTTTGTCTTTATATCTGAGGGTTATCTTTGAATCAGAGAAATGAAATGATTTGATTTATAGACTTGTATACGTGTCTATATTTTTTTTTGTAATCTGTGATATTATTGATACATGCATGTTGCAAGTGACTTGGAACATTAGTTCTTTCAGCGCACAGTGACCTATTCCTTAGTAGTGTTAAGGTGGATGAGTAGTTGCAGGGCATTAGTGTGCCCAGACCTTATACATGATTCTTGTATCTTCACAGAAAAGGAAAAAATCGAAGCTCAAATAGTATCTGCTGAAGCAGCAGCAAAAATGAAGGCAGAGGTCGAGCTGAAAAAGCAACGAGAAAGAGAAAGAGAAGCTGCTCGAATTGCATTGCAAGAGGTTTTATCTTTTTTCTTTTTGTCCACGTGTGCGTGTGGATTATAGACTCTAGACCATTGTAATACTATTGTACAAAATGTGAAACAGAGCATCAGCTAGTGCAACTATTTACTTGCCTGGTTTTCCAGATGGAGAAAACAGCTGAGATTGAACAGAACTTGGAGATTTTGAAAGAACTTGAGATGCTAAGTGGATGCTCCCTTTCTAATAATCAATCGCATGATCTTAAGAAAGATTCTGAAAAGGTGAGTGGAGCATCATATGAAGGAATTCTTGGGAATCCACTGCAACAGTTGGGTTTGTTCATCAAGGCTGAGTATTCGGAAGATGAGGACGCATTTCTGAATGAAGATGGTGAAGATGGGGAAATTCTGTCATAAAAAAATAGTAGTTTCAATTGGTGCAGCCCTCTTTGTTACTGCTCCCTTGTAATAATAGTAAGAAAAAACGGAAAAAATGTATAGTCAATACGTAGTAGGAAACTGAATTAACTAAAGCAGACACTATTTAGACATATATATTAGAGCTAAAGATTCTATTTTCGTGAGCAGCTACTGTTCCTTTTTTTTGTGGGGGGGGGGGGGGGGGGGAATGTGGCTACTCTTTGCTATTACTCTTTGATTTTCTGTATGATCGGTAATTTGGAAGAAAAGCTATGGGTTCTGTTTTCACGGATATTTTGCCATCGGAACTTTTTGTTGAATTTCTATATTTTCTGCCAAAGGTGAAATTATTAACATTCAAGGTAGTGCTTTTTTTGGCCCTTTTTAGTTGGTAAATTGCTGCTAACTAAATAGAAAAAGTCGATGTGTTCTGACTAAAGTAATTTTGTAAGATCCATTAGGTAATCAGAAAATTAAGCTGATTTAAGAATCTTCCGAAAGAAAGCCAAGGAATGCAAAACAGGCGAAGTGAAGGTTAAAAGAAGTTTAACACAAAGTTAAATAATATTCCGTTTAGGTGTTAGTTTTTTTTTTATTAATTTAAGTTTTTAACATTATATTTTTAGGTGTAAACATTAAATTTAGTCGTTAAATGATATATGTTATATAATTATGAAAATTTTAACTTTCAAATAATATAAATTTTCAAAATATCATTTAATTGCATAATCTAACGGCGGAAAATATTTATACACTTAAAAGTGTAACGTTTCAATTTGTATTAACTGAAAATAATTTAGTCATTTAAATAAGAAAAATATATAGTTTAAATATTTTTTATATTAAGTAAAAGAAAGAGAAGAAAAAAATGGAGACGGAAAATCTGAAATCGAATAAGAACCCCGATCCTAGCCTGAAAGAGGATGAGGTGGGGATTGAAGAGGAAGAGACGACGTTACATAGTGGAGCAGCCTCATCTGCTGTGGACCTTCTGGTTCGATAACCCGTCTGCCAAATCCAGGCAAGCTGCTTGGGGCAATTTACACTTTTTCCATCGTCGAACGATTCCGAATCTTAATATTTATTCTTTCTCTCTCTTTAAATATTCGGTTCCAAGGTTTATGATTTTATTGTGGCTTCTTTCTTCTTTTCAGTTCTTTGTTTTCCTTTAATACTTTTTCTCTATTGGTTCATGAATTTGGATGATAATTTGTTCCGAGGAGACTTCATCTGAATTTAATCATTCCGTTTCGTAGACGTTTTTGGTATGTTTTCTATCATTGGAAACCTTATCACCCGGTCATTAATAAACTAGGGTAAACTACACCAATGGTCACTAATGTTTGAGTAATATTTTTTCCTCACTGAATTTTCAAAAGTAACAAATTAGTCATTACATTATCGATTTATAAAAAATTAATCACTAACGTTATCTATTTGTACAAAAATAGTCACTCTACCATTTTCTCTGTTAAATTGATGATGTAGAAACATTTATAAAAAGTTTAATATTTAGTTTTACCCTTAAACTATTGCTAAAACTTCAAATAAGTTCTTAAACAATGATTTTATATCTAATTTATCCTAAAAACTTTTTAATTTATAGTTTTTTTTTCAAACACCCCACCACCACAACTATATTCGAACCACCTTCTTTACAAAACGAAAACCATATTGCATAGATAAATAGAATTATTTCATGAAAGACAAATACATGAGTGTTTAAAGTCACATATTCAATTAATTTTAATGTAAATATAATGTTTTTTGGGATGGTTTTCATTTGGTAAGTCAAATGGTTAGAATTTTAAAGACAAACGAGAATTTGTTTAAGCATGATTTTCGTTTCGTAAGGAAAGTGGTTAGAATATAGTTGTGGTGGTGGGTGTTTAAAAAAGTAGAGATTAGAAAACTTTTGGAATAAATTAGATATAAAATCGTTGTTTAAGGACCTATTTTATGTTGTAGCAATAGTTTAGAGGTAAAACTAAATATTAACCTTTTTTATGAACGGTTTCACGTGATATAGATAATGGTGGAGTGACCATTTTGTTACAAATCGATAACGCTAGTGACTAATTTATTACTTTTGAAACCTTAGTGGGGAAAACGAAAACCTACTCAAACATTAGTGACCTTGGTGTAGTTTAGCCTTTGTAATATCAAGAAAATTAATCATCTCATTTATTTCCGTCCAAGCAATTCCCCACTAGCTTTTGCATTTTGTAAAGTTGTTATGGTTGGATGGATGCTCTGATTCACCAACGTTTTGATTTATTTGACACGAAGGTAAGAAAAAATTATTATCTTAAAACTAATTTTATTCAAATAATAAAATTAAATACCTAAAGAATTATTTAGTGAGAATGACATTCATGAACTATATAAAAATACTATTGTTGGTAATAATCTTTCCTCATCCAGTGAGAATGATAACGAATTAAACATATAAACAGAATTATGAGAAAATTATTACATTTAGTAATAATTTTTTTATTAACCAAGCGCTCTCTTAGACTCCATCTACTGGATAGTGTTGTTTCTAGTCTTTGCCTCCGGTTTCACAATATAAATGGAAGCAGCAAAGATTCATGTGTTCAAATTGTGATGTATCAAACAACCTGTGATCAGGTCATTACCTTCCTATATATATCATAGCCTTCCCCATGGTTTCAACTACAACATAACTCTTTCCTTACTTGGAAGATGGGAAACTTGAGAGTTTCATCAATGCTTTTGCTTTCTCTCATTGCTGCTGCTTTTGCCAATAATTTCCGTCAAGATGTGCAGATAACATGGGGCGGCCGCCATGCTCGAATACTCACTCGAGACAATCTTCTAACGCTTAGCATGGACAAAACTTCCGGGGCTCTGGCTTCAAGTCCAAGAGAGACTATTTCTTCGGAAGCTTCAACGTGAACATGAAGCTCATTGCTGGTAACTCTGCCGGCACCGTCACCACCTTCTACTTACGTTCTTTCTCCTTGATATCTTTGGAAAGCAATTTTAGGTCCCAACCCAAGAAGATTCAACTCTTTGAAAATGATGTTTTGAAGCTATCTTCTGAAGGCCCATCTCGCGATGAGATCGATCTCGAGTTATTGGGTAACAAAAGCGGCTCTCCTTACACTCTTCATACCAACGTTTTCACTCAAGGACAAGGGGGAAGGAAGGAAGGGTTCCACCTCTGGTTCGACCCAACAAAACGTTTCCACACAAATTCTATCGTATGGAATCCTCGAAACATCATGTAAGAATCTTGTTCCCAAGTAATCGGTCTTTTCTCAAACATTAATTTTCAGTGACCTTTCATTTGTTTCAGAATCTTGGCATGGATAACATTCCGATAAGGGTGTTTAGCAACGAAGAGTCCATCGGAGTTCCGTACCCCAATAAGCAGCGGATGAAGGTGTACGCCAGCTTGTGGGACGCCGATGATTGGGCGACGAGAGGCGGGAGAGTGAAAACCGATTGGTCCAAGGCTCCTTTCGTCGCTTATTACAGAAACTTCGTTGCTAAAAGGGATTGGGGCATACAAGGGCTTAACGCTCGCGGCAAAAAACAGCTGAGTTGGGTACGTAAACGTTACAGAATTTACTACTACTGCAATGATCTGAAACGGAAACAGCATCACGGTAATGGTGGTCGTCGGCCACCAGAGTGCAAGGCGTCCATTGGTGGCCATGCAGCAGTATTGGAGGAGAGTATTTAATGTTTGAAAGATATTTAAGCCCGAATCTACGGTGGCAATATATATCAAATGTCAACCTTCACTTGTAGTTGGTTTTAGGGTATTAGTCTTTATCATCGCTAGATTGCCATGTCAATCATGTGACCTTCTTCAGCTCATAAATAAAAAAGTATCTTACATTCATGAATCTATGTCAATCACGTGATTCATCTAAAAGTTAACAATCAAACACCAATTTATTCAAATATATTTAACAAAAATATACTGATTTGTGCGTGATGACGGTGCCGACTGATCTATTAACAAAATCTGCTAAGACCAGCAGGACTCAAACCTGCAGCTCTTGCTTTGACAGAGCTGTGCTCTGGTTTGACCAATTGAACTACAATCCCATGAAAATAAACGAAGCAAGGAAACTGCAATCTGCATCAACATAAGCTAAAGTCTGAGAGAAAGAAGAAAGAAGCCAAAACCTTCATGGACAGAAAATCTCCCTGGAAAAAGGATACGAAACTACAGAAAGTGTAAAGAGAACGCCTACAGATATGCACGTGTCCCAACGAGAGAGAAATAGACATTAGGCAGGTTCTTTAATGTAAATTTAGTTTTATATTCTTTTGCCAGCGTATCCCATGTTTTTCTTCTTCTTGTTGCTGCTGTTTTTGTCTTCAGACTTAATGATTTTATTAAATATCGTGCATTTTCTTTTGTTTATGTGATGAATGAATAAATAAAAGAAGACCATGTGTTTTTAGTTGATAGACCAAAAAATAATAATAATTTGAAAACAATCTAGTTGATACCCTACCTAAGCAAACATGTTTATATTCTCGAAATTAGATTCAAATTTACGTAATAAAGTTATGTAAAATGACAAGAAAGGCTTTTTTTTAGATAGATGCCGTTAATAGTATTAAAAAGTGAAAATATTCATAATTACAATAAGGTTTACAATTATTATCGTAAACTAAATATGTAATTTGGATTTTTTTTATAACATTAAAACTAGTCACTTTAGATTATATAAGGACCATATGGAAAAGGTTAAAAATCCAACCAAAAGACTCGAACAAAAAATACATACGAACAAATCTGATTACATCGGTAAACGAACCACAAAAGATATTAAACTGTTGAAAGATCATCAAGAACTACAAATCAGAGCTGAGCGACGTGAGAAACTATCCACGAATATAAAAGCGCGCATCCAAATTCAATTTGAGCGTCCATAATAAGGAAGATCTATCGTAATAAAAGAATGACAAAACGACAAATAAAGAAAAAAAAAACATGATACAAAGACATAATTATTCTTACTAAAATAGAAAAATCAATAAAAAAAACAAGAATCGTCAGACGTTAACTAATATTAAAATTAATGTCACCGTTGACTTAACAAAATCAAAGAATAAAAAATTGATTTGATCTAATAATAAGAAAATCTTTTAGTTTTATTTTTAAGATCTCAATAATTATAAAAATAAAAAATATACATCATATAATGATGTGGTGCCCCTTTATATTTTTTTCAAATCAAATCATTATAGAATTTAAAATTTACATGAATTAAACGATATTAATTTTTCAATACTTAAAAATTAGATTTGAGTACGATGTTTATTTTAATGTATCAACACTCATGGTCAAATAATAAAAAATATTTTAAATAAATATTATGTTATATTTATTTATATTAATAAAAAAAACTTAAAAATAAAAAATATAAACCCTCCTTTTCATGTGATTTGATTAGGGCTATAAATGAGACGAGATAGATCGCGTGATACTAGAGATTGACTCATGATCTGACTCGGTCAAGGCTTGATAGATACCCGGAACGAAAGGACTCGAGCTCGAGTACTTAACGAGACGAAACGAGCTACTTAATACTCAACTCGAAAAACTCGTGAGCAATTCGAAAATATAATATATTAAAATTTTATTTTTTAAAAACAAATATTAATAATATTAACATTTTTGTGTTGATTTTTTTTAAAAAAATACATTAATATTTTTATGTATTTAAGGTTAGGTTTGAGTTTGAGGCTTCAATCGAATTAAGTTTAAGATTTTTTTTCTTCATTTCAAACATTTTCGAGTTGCTCACAATATTCAATTCAGGATTTTGAATTCGAGTCGAATTTAAAAATTTTAAGCTTATAAAATTTTGAATTTCATTTCAAAATTTTCAAGTCAAATTTAACTCCGCAATACTCGATCTCGTTTACGCCTCTAGATTTAATCACAAATCCATGGTTTGCCTACTGAAGTCTGAAATCAACCATTACTTAATCCCAAAAGCCAAAGGACACCTGACCCTCCCCTACGACTTTAAATCCCATCATCAATCATCACCTCATCAAAGTTCTATAGTGCAGTACTCTTAATATATAATTAAAAAATTATTATTGATTTTATTATTATTTAAATAATAAATTCGGTAAAAAATTATCTAAAATTTATTATTTCTACTTAAAACATCAATATTTTTTAATATTTCCGGTAAAGTGACTAACAATAACAAAACCGATATAAATAATAATTTTTCAAGTAATTTTTACCCATTTTGTTATTTAAGTAATAACAAAATCGGTAACAAATTTTTTTAATCGTATATTAAAACTGTCGCACATTATCATTTTTCTAATTTATATTTTTTTTAAAGAGGTAGCTTTGTATATTAGATCAGAGAGTCATACAAAACAAAAGACGGGAGACAAATTGTTATTTATTTAAAAAAAATACAAGTATTTTTTATATTTAAATTTAAAAATATGAATACAAAATGTTTTCAAATATATATACACATATATAGAGGATATGTTGAACATTGTAAATTTTTTTAATTTTATATTGATTTAAAATATAAGTATTTTTTTAATTTGAAGTACTGCGTACTAAGATATGCTGGGCAGCTCAAATCTTCTGTGTGCATGCATGCATGAGAATACTAGGGTTATGTAACTGCAAGTCTATATCTTGAACTTATTGTTTGTAAACCATCTGGTATTTCTTTTGCTATCTTTAGTGACCTTGACTTTATCGTCTTTTTTTTTGAGCGAATCACCAGTTAATCCTGGTCGAACCAAATAGGCTCGGTGAATGATGGGAGATCACTCGGTAGCATGTCCAATTATCGCTCTGGTTGATTTTTTTGTATAGTAACTATTGTCTGATTAATATTTTTATTTTCTTCAATCTTCACATTTCCTCGTAACTTGGTAAAGTTTTGCTTGCATAATGCTGGAGGCTATGTGTTGATCAATTGCCTCCCTATTGAATCAATGGTCATCTGCTAAGGGCATCTGTATTTTCACCTCACCTCCATTTCTGATTTGAAAGTCCAAATTTAATGATTGGGATGTCTATTGGTGACAGTCTTCCGGTTTCTAGCATCGAATTATATACTGGTTGGATCATGTGTGATACACTGTTTTCTTTTTAATGCAGAACCATCTGTTCATGGGGATTCGGTAGACATGCAGTTCATCGAAGTCACAAATGGTTTTGGTTTCTATACTTCTATTTCATTTCAAGGCTCAATGATTTTCTTTAAAGAATAATGTGCGGCAGACCTAGCTAGAAAAACACTCGTAAGTTTCGTGGCAGTGATACTTTGGATGCCGGTAGTTGCTAGTTATTGGTTACTAGCATTGAGTACAATCATTTATTGGCACATTTGCGGCGTAGTTTCTTAGCTAGGTTCATGTTGTATCTATTTCTTGTTTCCAGGTTGCAGGGACTAGTTTCCTAACAGAGTATATTAGTGCTTCTTTGTGTAATTTCAACATGGTTCCTATGTCAGTGTCTATATTGTGAATTTTGATAATATCTTTTTGTTTCAGAAAATTTATAGATGTGTTTGCTTTCCAAGACCAATTATAGGTGCAAAATACTACTTTATAATCTATGGATAATGCATTATTGAAGACTTGTTTCTTGAACTTTTCATTGACAAACTAATTTGTTAGCATGGCAGGTCTTTTGATTAGTGCTGCTCCTAGGAGAAATTTGGTTCTTGAGTATGGAACCCATTAAACTTAATCGAATTAAATTGACTATGGTTGGTTTCGATCAGTCTGGTAAATCGGTTTTAATTAGGTAGTGCTCAGCCGTAGCTGATATGTGAAGAATGCTACTTTACTGTCTTTTTTAGGTTGGAGATTGATGGAATCTTGTCATTGCACCAGAAATTTTGTAGGTCCAAATGAAAACTCATTTGTATCACACCAATTACATCTAAAGAATCAAGCGAATGCGAAAGAGAGAATTTCATGGCAATAAAAGATATAAAATGAAGTAATCACAGAGCTTTTATCCACTTTAACCATGTTTTCAGCTTCAATAATTCACGCGCCGCCGCGTTAATTGCTGCAATGTAGAAAAGCTGTGTAACTGTATGATTATAAATGCTTCCATTGTTCTCTGCAAAAGAAGAGAGAATTGGCGTTAACTTAATTATACTAGTCGAAGAGTTTTATCGAGTTGAGAATTGGGTGGGTGCTGAATTCCATTCATACCAGACGAGCATTCCTGTCTTGGAGCTCAATTTCTTTGCATGCAAATTTGCCAAAGAAAATTTTCAAGTTAGTTTGGGAAGTGGGAACATAGTAAGATTTGATTCCCAAGCTTGTGTTTATAGATGCCAGAGTTAAGAGGCTGACCCCATGCCGAGTAAAGTAAGAGTCCAAGCAACGCCAGCAATTGAAGCTGCTGATGGCAAGCTACCAGCATGCCATGAACGGATATGGTTGATACCAGCGATTGCGGATGCTACACCGACAACTCCGGCGAGCATAGAAAATGTCACGAAGAATCCGGTGGCAGCATTTCCCATGGGGAAGTAAATGGTTGAGAAATGCGCCGGAAGCTCGAAGCCAGGTCCTGCAGGTGTCACATAGAGAAACCATCTAAACTGAAGCCTTAGGCATACACTATAGGCGAATATTTGAAAGGTGACGTACCGATGATAAAACCATTATCAATAGCTTTATTGACTGCCCATCCACCAATCCCTAAAACAATGGCATACATGCAGAAATTAAGGAACAGAAGCAGAACAGCGACGGGTTTCATTTGAGCATTGGCCACTGCCTCTCTTTATCCGATGGTTTTAAGTAAAATAACCGTTGAAAAATAAGAGAGGTGCAATGCAAAAAAGATTATTGCAGGGACATGTGATTTGCGAGTTTTGGGGGCTAATATATATGCCGTCGAAATGATGGGTTTGGTTCTTTTCTTGCGAAGGCTTGGCTGTAAGGAGCATGCTTCATGGTCAAGGCAAGGCAAGGCAAGGCAATCCTTCAAAATAAACACCCATGTTCATTCTTGCTTCCTCGTTTTCCGCTTATTGTTGCGAAAATGCTACATTCTGTAATTCATTCGTGGGAGGAGATGTCATATTCTTAGATTCTTTGTCGATTGATAAAGAAAATTGATTGAAATTTTATTTGAAACCAAATGATAATTAGTATCATCTTATTTTTTTAATAAATTAATTATTTAATATAAAAAAACAAAATATTATGTGTTTTTCTATAATATAAAATCCAATCAATCCTTTTTTAAATACAATGTTAGTACTAACGTTTCTTATATGTAAACTGACAAATATAGAAGTTAATGTTAGTCGTCCCAACCTGTAGCATTTTGTGCTAAAAACAAACTTTAGTAAAGGTTATAATATCCCCCCAAGCGGAAAAAGAGAAAATGGGAATGAAAAGAAGAAAAAGGGGGAAAGTCTTAGATATATTTTTAACATAAAATTTTGTAATTTCATTAAAGAAATATTTTTTTAAAATTAATTATCAGTAATAATTATCATTTATTATTTATATTAAAATACTATTTTTCATTCAATTATATAGGAATAGATATGTGTATATATATATATATAATATCTTAAATGAAAATATATTATAAATATCTTAGATATATTTTATTTTAGATTCTTTAATATTTTTTAAAAAATTAAATTTAAATATCTAAATTCTTTCTAGTTTTGTATTATGTACTTTTAAGTTTTAACTTTTTTTAAAAAAAGATTATTAATTTGTCAATATGAGATTCGAAGAAAAATCACGATCAGTATTAATATTTTTAATATTTTATTTGAAAACAAATTTTAATATATATATCCAAATTTTATTCTTATAATTAACTTCAAATCACTAATTTTATGTATTGATTATATATTATAAACTTTTAAATTTTGTGTTATATATGTGATTTTTTTAATAAACTGAATAAAAAAATAAAAAATATGAGTCAGATATTCATGAGTTGAAAATGCAGAAACCCAAATTTATGAGTACTCAACTAACGGATACTCAAACTTAACGGACCAAAACACAGATCAATAAATACACTATTTAAAAAATCGGGTACCCGGTACTTTGACTACCCGAAAATACGGTTTTGGAGTGAAACACCCCCAATAGTAATTGTTTGAGTTATACACGGTATAAAATATAATTAATTTTCAACGTATTTTTTTCTTACAAAAAAGGGTAAATTATAAATTTAATAACTGAACTCTCATACGATTCCTATTTTATTCACCATACTGTCAAAATTTTCAATTTGCTCACTCAACTTTATGGATTGAACTTTTCTGGTCACTCCACCGTTATATCACTAACAACTCATTAACGTCGAATATTTTAATATTAAACATGCCACGTTGGATTTTCACGTAATAATAATAATAAGGGTAAATTATAAATTTGATAACTGAACTTTCATATGATTTCTATCTTACTCACCGTACTTTCAAAATTTTTAATTTGCTCACTCAACTTTATAGATTGAGTTTTTGGCGGGGGTGAGACGAACGGACATGGGGTGGCTGGAAAACATATTCGAACTGTTTACCCAACGACCGACGACGGAGGCAACGACGATGAGAGGGCAAATCGACTGGGTTTTGGTTGTAAAGAGGAGAAGACTTCAGTAGTGTTAGGCGAACGGATGGCCTGAGTGGCCAAAAATTTATGAAAATCGATGGGAAGATTTGGTTTCTCGACGAACCTTCGACAGTTTCTATACGACAAACGATGAAGAGTCTTGACGATCAACCACCAGGGTTTTAGTCGCGGTGCCCTTGCGCTCACACCGATACTGGCAGTGATAATCACTGCCTAGCAGGGACGAAGATCAACGACGGGTCATCGAACGATTTCCTATGATTTTACGATGAACGACGAGCTTTCATCAACAGTGAAGGGTATGGCTTTGATCGGGAGGCGACACTAGTGCTGCTGGAGGTGGTGGTGCGAGCCAACACTGGTCGGAGATGGGTTTAGCGACGAGGGCAGCGGTGGATGATCGTTGGCAATGAGAAGTTTAACAATAGAGTGACCAAAAAACTCAATCTATAAAGTTGAGTGAGTAAAAATAGGAATTATATGAAAGTTCAATTATCAAAATTATAGTTTACCTTTTATTTTTTTTGACCTGTCATAACATCCGTGACTTTTAACGATTAAAAAATTATTTCTTTAAGCCACGTCATAACGGCATGAGAAGTTTAAAGACGGAGTGACAAAAAAATTCAATCTATAAAAATTGAAAAAATTGAAAGTTTTGAAAGTACGATAAGTAAAATGAGAATTATATGAAAGTTCAGTTATCAAAATTTGTAATTTACCGTACAAAAAATTAGGCTAATCAAAATCACCCACGTACTATAGTTGACCCTTAGATCTCCTTGATAATGCCTTCCTTTCCTTTGCGTTAAGGCGCGAAAACATATTTCTACTGTCGCCCCAAAACTATCAGCATTCAGCCGAGAAAATCTCCCGCCTTTTTGGCAGGCAAAGCATCCTTTTAGCTTTCGTTAAATTGAAGCTATTTTCTTGTCATTCCAAACTCTTTTTTTTTTCTTTTCATTTTTCGTTTCAATCTGAGGAAGAATTCATAATCAGCCCAAATTTTCATTTTTTATTTATTTCATCTTGGAAATAGAGGTGGCGAATTGATATCTTTTCAGTAATCTTGTTTGGTCAATCTAATGGGAAGCTCTGTGATGATCAATGTCCCATCATCGCGCAATTATCGGACGTCGGACAACGAAGGCGGTGATTGTTATGTGTTGAAGTTCGAAACATATCTTTCAGATCTGAATCAGCAATGCCAGGGCCTAGGGCATGAGGTATCTCGATTGAACTGTTTCAGTGTAGAAAACAAAGATAAATTAATGCATTTGAAGAGCAGGATTGAAGAATTTAACCAACGTGAAATCCAGTTAACTCAGGAAATCGAACAACTTGAACGGAAAGTTCTAATGTCGATTCTCCAAAAAAGGTTTGAAGACGATGAAGTGGAGAAATTTACGGAAGTGAAAGAAATTGAAGGATGTGAGTGTTCGAAAGAGAAGAAATTAGAACAAGAGTTTGTCAATCCGATGCTCGAAATAGGGAAAATGAATGATGAAATCAAAGATTTCAGGTTCGAAATTGAAGAAACCAAGAAATGTGAAGAAAGAGATGTTTAAAGAGTTAGGAATAGATCTATATGGCCAGCAAGAGAATCTGAGTCAACTAGTTTCGGACAAGGAGGGAACAATGGAGAAGTTTGAGAAGTTGGGAAATGCTGTTGATAACGTTAAGCGGGGTGATGGTGATGTTGTATATCATTAAAAAAGGCGAATGCAAGTGATAATGGTGAAGAGGAAGAGATCGGGGACATTGGAACACAAGAATTGCGCAAGGAAATCGAGCTCTTGGAGGCGATGTTGGAGAGGGGGAGTGTTGAATTACTTGACCTGAAGACGGTGATGAAAGAAATCGAGTGCTTGAAAGGGCCGGAGAAGGTGAGTGAGATGGAAGTGAAGATGGCGCAGTTGGAGTCTGGCTTGTTGGAGCTGAAGAGAACTATTGTGGAGTTGAAAGGTAAGAAGAGCATGTAGTTGAAGGGTTGGATCGCGAAAGATGAAGAAAAGCTCAATTGGTGTTCAGTTATTGCATCTGTTGGAGTCGCAGTTGTAGCTGTTGCTGCCATGGTTTTCATGAGTCCCCCAAGGTGGGGTGAACGTTTAGCAGACAGAGGAAACAAGCATAAAACGGATTAGATCTCCTTCATAATATCAACTCGTGTACTGATTAATTATCATCATATTGGAAATAATCAGGTTGTAAATCTAATCATTGCTATGATTTAAATCCTCGTTATCACAATTAGTAATGAAACAAAAACCAATGCCCGATCTAAAGTTACCTTAAGCAAGTTATCAAGTGTTGTAAACATAAAAAATCATAATTTTGAGAAAAATTTCATCAAAATACAATGTGACTTGGGGTTTACCCAATATAACAACCGAGTACTCGAAGCTAAATACCAAAAAAAAAAATACCCCCGTCAGAGATAGGAAGCTAATCTCATAAACCCATAGAAAGTGCTTTAAAAATTTCTCAAGACATAATTGTACTTGTAGTAATAATTACATAATACAAATGAAGTCCTGTTGAGAAAGTTATCGTCATCAAAACAACCAAATGATCCAAAATTTGCAATAACACAAACAATGAATCAATGCTAAATATAACAACTACATGCTCATTCATCTTCTTGGCTGCGCAGCCTGGCAAGCTTGTTCGTAACGACAACATCAAGCTGTGCTGCCCATTCAACGATCTCTTTTCTCTTCTTTGTGGAAACATCATGGGCAATCTCAGCACAATATGTCCTGAAAAGCAACAAAAAGTGAAATAAGAACACAAACATAAATTGTATATACATTAAACGGATGCATAAAACACAGTATGTATTAGATTACCTGTCGTGCATCATCAAAATTTCAAGTTCTCCAACATTGTGCACAACAAATTTCTTAAAGTCATTTGGGAGATAATGTCGTGTCTTCTTGTCTGAATCATAGCCAATGTTGGGCATCAAAGTGCATCCCTTAAATTTTCTTCTTACACGAGAATCAATACCCTTTGGTCTACGTCAGTTTGTCTGTAACAGCACATTCACAATAAGTCAAAAAAGTTTCTCACTTAGAATTTGCAAGCATAGAAAAAACTAAAGGGGTTACAAAAAGCAGATCAATGTGACCAGGGTTTTAGTAACAGAAAGTTTGTGTGAGAAAAAGCTAACTGTGTCGCAAGACCTGTTCAAAATTTTATATGTGCCCTCAAAACGAAATGTCCAGCTATGAATATATAAGAACTGCACATCAGATACCACGGGCAAAAGACAGAGAAATCTTATCAAATATGTAAAGCTAATTGAAATTAAACACAGTTAGTTTAGTATAACCGATATATTTAACAAATATTCAGTCTTTTTGATGCAGAAAATGTCTACAATCTCAGCCAAAAGATGGAGATTATTTTATATAATCATCACACAGGGATCAGGTCGATCATTCTTTTTCATGGTAGATTGCTTGAAAATGTAAGAAAAAGCAGGTACTCCAGCAATTAAATCAATTGACCAGAAATTTGAGAGAAAAAATGCAATAGGGATCAGACGGTAGTAAAAAAAAGAATACGCAATTTTGATAAGAATGGACCAGATTAGCTATCAATTGATATCACCATCCTCCAACTAGAGCCGAAAGTATGACTGGGTATCAAACAACAATCATCACATCCACTAGCAAAATGAAACGTTGAAAATAATCTCACCATAACAAATGGATCAAATAGACGAATGATACTGACTCCACATCTTACAACTCAGTGTCAAATATTTACTTCTCTGCGCACGACTAAAATTCAAATCAAACTACACAAAAGGATGTTTTAGATCGAACTTTTGAAAGGTAGTAAAAGATGAATGGAAATAGAATATTTTGAAGTTACCTTAACGGAGACTTTGCGGTCACTCTGGGGTCTCTTGAACTTCTTGACCCTCTTCTTCACGATTTTCTTACTTAGAAGCGCACCGCCATCTTTCCTTTTCCTTCTTCTTACCTTTACAATTACCAAAGTCCAAAACAAATTTTTAAATTGCACAACTAACTTACGGAAAATCTTAAGAACTCCAGATAGTAAGAATGAAGGTGCCGATACTTACTGGGATATTAGGGTTTGGCTTGAGCGCCTCACTATAGAGTTGCTGCAGTTTATATGTGTGTGTTCGGAGTGATGGCTCTCAGGGTTTGTGTATTTTGGATTTCGAGCCATTATTTAATTCCTCAACTGGGTCATCGGATTACCTTTTTCCATGGTTGGCCTATTCATGCTTACGGATCCAATTTATAATTGGCCCAATTTGTTTTTATTTCTTTTTTATTGGAAAAAATGCAATGCATCCATGGTGGATGTATGATCATATTATGTAACATTTTAATATTTTTTTAAAATGGATTTTATTTTCATTTTAATATATGCATTAAGACGAAATTTTTTGGATAGAATTCAATTTTTAGAATTTTTGAAATACTTAATGTTTATTTAATCATTATTTTAGTTCACTCTAATAAATCCAACTATTTTGAAATTTATTTAGTTAACCAATTAAATTTCAGTAAGTATTAAATAACATCAAGATTTTTATTTTGTTTCTGGCAGGTTTAAAGATGATTTAACGAAGACTAATGCTCATATTTCATTCCCCCACCCCCCAAAAAAAGGCACAATTTTATATTGCATACAATCATAATTTTATTGGAGTTGTCAAAAAGATGAACCAAAGAGATCCTGGTAAAACCAACACGGTGCCTTAATTAAAAGGTTGCTGCTTACCTTATTTGCTAGAGGCTTTGGGACGCAAGATAAAAGCTATTTGGCCCCATTGGCACACTAACGTAGCAAAGAGGTTGCTTGAAGAGCTTCATGTCACTCTGGTTTTATGCCTTTTGCTTTCCTTATTCTAATTTTGACATCGATGAGGAAGTAGCATTTTCTATGTTCCCTGACATAGTGAACATCACTATTCATCTTATTTAGAAGCTTTCGTGACCTGTTTAGCGCTATGCCTTATCGTGTTGTAGATTGGTTTCCAACGTTAGGAATGCCTTTACCGGGGTGAGCCAGCTACAAGCACAGAAGAAGAAAAAAAGTCATCTCTGATGGATTAACCATGTAGTAACTTGGGCATGGCATGTCAAAAATCGAGGTTATGAAGGAATCTTCTGTCGAAGGGGGGAAAGGCACATAGCGTCGAGAAGTGTGATGACAGACAACCAGTCCCCAGAGCTTTTTTGAATCATTACCATTAATAACGACTGCCATCACTAATGAGGCAATGGAGCCCATGTTTTCCATGTACTGTATGTGGCATCCATGAGGTGACCTTAATGTTGAATTTGCAAAGCAGAGAGGCCGCTGCAGCTCATTACTTTGAATGACCTTGACTGGATTTGCATGACAATCGCAGATTAATCTCACCCGATTCTGCTTGAACAAAAAGCGAACAGCTTGGGGTATATCTGTGACTGGATAATGCACACCCAAGTATGGCTCTAAATCAGACCTCCGGATTTCTGACACAACTTCACCATGATAATCATAATGGAACTTGTACACCATAACCCTGTCATAGCCAGTAATCTTTTGAACATCCTCAGCAACTGTATCACATAATAAACCGATATCACCACCACGGAGTGACTGTAACATAGCAATTTCCCTAACAGCAAGTTTCTGTGAATGCACAGCACCAGTAAATGATAATGCAAGATCCTCTAACCGTGCAGGTTCCAAGTCGATCACAGTTCCCACATCAATCCTATGCAATATAGCAAAAAATGTCTTCCGACTGCTCTTGGAATAAACCCAAATTGGATTTAACAAAGAAATATCTGTAGAAGCCATGGCTTTTCCCAAGGAATCCCGTGATGAAGGAATAAAAAGGCTTCTTGCATCCATTCCAATCAAATCCTTGAACCCTTTGGACTTATCTTTGCTATCCAAATGCAAACCCAACAACTCAAAGCAGTTCTCACTATAACTAATGATCCTAAAGGTTGGTTCTTCAATAGCAATCATACAACCAAAGCGTTCAAGGATTTTTGACAAATTAGCAGTTATTTGTTCTTCAGGTACACTTTGCGGAGCATAAACAACTGATCTTGAATAGTTAGACTTACCAGACACACCTGACTGCTCAAACTCTGCCACAAGCCCAGCATCTGCATTGCACTGAGCAATGGCTTTGCCTTTGGGTTTCATGTTATTTGCAGCTGATGATGAAAAAGTAGTATTGGGTTTTTGTTCTTCTTCCACTCTCAAGTTCGGGTTTGGTTTGCTGATAGGTTACCTTCTAAAGAACTCATTTGTTTTTGGTAAAAAAGAGTAGCCTATAAGTAGATCTTATCTCATCCCATCCTTACGCATATTTAGCTTTGTTGTTACTAGTTTTCATTTACCTAATCAAGGTTCTTCTTGATAAAACCTGTCTTGAATCAATTTTGGATACAATAATTATGTAACCGAACCATGATTATAGTAACAGCAAACACTGTCACTCTCATACCATATGTCAACTTTTGTCTACGAGACCCTTTTCTCACCGTGCTTGTTTCGAAATAAGATTCTTTTTTTTTCAACTTCTCTCATCTCAAATGGTAAAAATGAGACACACCACAGCAATAAAAGCAGTTCCTCAAATCGTATCATCAACTTGACGAAATCAATCACATCATGTTCGGAGAGCCAGGAAGCTGTAAGTTTAATAAATGTTAAAACAAAGAATATCAGTAAGGGGACATGGTGTGGTGCTTGGCAGTCCTAAAAGTAAAGGGTTGAAATAGAAATTTGTAAGCCCACTGCCACGGGACCAAAGAGACGGGACGAAAAATTTGTCGGCTTTGTGAGAAGCATAAGATATCAAAATAATATACCATGTTTGTTTTGACAATAACTATGAACAGAGAAGATAAGGCACCAGCAGTTTGGTCCATTTCTATTGGACAGTGCACTGCACATCCCAAATAAATGAAACTTCCCAACAAACATATAAAAGAATATTGAATATCTTTGTTAAATATGAGCCACTGGCTTTTGTTTTCTAAAACACCTGCACTGCTCCTTTTCTTTCCAACTGTCTCCACGATTAAGTAAATTAGTGTTCATCTCAAGTCTCAACTGTTGCAGATAAAATCAAAACATAGTTCTAGTCACATTGTTCCTTTCATTAATGCAACCACAAGCGGATAAGTATAGTACATCAAATCATCACTTCAAATCCAACTGAATCTGTGTTTGAATTGAATTACTTGAAAGACTTTAGCCACCCATTTGCAGATAATGGAGGGAAAATACCAAAAAATCAAATCTGCTATTATATTTGTTATAGTTATAGTATGAACAAACCCAGACATATTGTTACAACTCAATTTCACTTAGCAATGACTCACCGATGGCTAATCAGCTGTACTTCGAAACTATTGGGAACCTAAGGCTAATCCACTGTACTTAGAAACTATTGGGAACCTAAAATTTAATGAAGTTGATTCATACAACTATTTTAAGAAATTATAATAAACGTGTTTATGGTTCAAAACTCACCAACTACCCCTTTTGAGTTCCCGATGTAACAAAACAAAAAACCAAATTGAATCATGTTTTGAGATTATAAAAAGAATTGTCGTTTATATTAACGTCCTCCAATTTGACAATCTAATTGTTCACAGCAAGTTGGCAAAGTCATTTGGAATTTCTTTAGCAGTCGAATAACTGCTAATTTTTACTTAGAATGTTATTTTGGACCAAATTCCATTTGGTTTTGTAATTGTTTTCATTTCTTCACTAGGTTTCTTATTTATCATTACCAATTGCTATTGACTTAATTTTTTTAATTTCTGGTTATCCAAAACGGGCATGTGTAGCAGCGACTATTTCGTTAACATTCTTGATATGAAACAAGTTGATCAGGTTTAAATTATAGTCTCTGAAAATGTCTGAACCCAGGTTTCTAGTTCCTGTAAGAGAGCCATATTAGGTGGCAGCATCAGTCATGAACTAACCTTCCCCAGATGACTAACGATGCCACAATGTTCTTCCCGAGCCTGCATCATTCCTTTACTCCCAGCCTTCTTAGTGGACATTCGACTAGTTAATTAATTAAGACATCATCTTAGATCTAGAGATCTGGATGATCAGAGTAATGTGTTGATTTTACCACATGACTTTTTGTAGCAAAAGTTCCAATTGTCAGCGACCTAAAGATTTCAGGTCAAGTAACAGATCAGTTAACAAAAAGTTTCATGTTCTATAGTCATTGAAGTTGGGACACCTAACAGGAACCATCCCTAGTACAGGAGATAACACCGCATCAGCACATCACTTTGACTCAATATCATTGGCTTGAGAAAGATCATTGCTGGGAATTGGGAGATATTGCAGATAATACAGTTCCAGATGCATCATTCCTGCTAGACAATGAATCTTGGCCCTGCATTATAAGAAAGAAATCAATGTGTACGACTGATTCACAAAAGAGATGAACATTCATATATTTGAAATAGAATTTGTTCTGGACCAACAATTATTGAGAACAATATTTCAAAAGTGAGGTTGATGAAAAAGCAGGTAGGAAGCATTATAAATTCATCGCAAGCAACTTAACCAGATCGAAAGGAGGAACTCTGATTATTCACCAGCTTTAGAGAAGATGGATTTTCCATTAAAACTCTTTAAGACATGTCTAATCTCAGCTAAAAATCTAATCTTATTCACCGCATAAACTCTAATTAGAAGAGAATAGTACTTCAACTAACCTGCAATGTTGTTTGTCGACCTGGTTCCATCATGGATTCCTACAAGAAATATTAATTTTCCGTCAGGATGACAACTTAAATATAAGAGAAAAAGTTCTAATTTGTATCCCCTTCTTATGACTAAAAGATATTTTCCATTTAAGAGTAGACTGCACTGCTACAGATGTAATGTGATCATTTCAGGTTATAGGTATTTAGGTTCAAATTAAACCTATATCTAAATGATCCCACCATGCACCAGTGTGTTAATGAACAGATTCCTTGTACTAGTGTGTTAATGAAAGCACACCTCTTTGCTCCAGTCATTCTGCATCTGAACCTGAGAAGTTGTGACCTGCCCTTCTTGTCTTTTTTCTTGTTCTTGCTGCTGCTGCAAGTAAAGATAGTGATTTGGTGGTGGAAATTGCTGCTGATAAGAGCCTAGCGGCTGAAGCTGCTGCTGCTGAAGATATTGTTGAGGCTGATGTTGAATAAATTGTTGTTGCTGCTAATTCTGTAGTAGCTGTGGCTGCCGATAGGGTGATGATTGCTGTTGAAGAAATTGTTGCTGCACTTGCAGCAGCTGTTGGTGTTGTTGATACTGTTGCTGTAAAAGCTGCTGCTGGGGCTGCTGCAAAAGAAATTGCTGCTGCTGTTGCTGTTGGTAGTAATAATATTGCCACATTTGATTATATGCTTGGTTATTCTGCATTTGCCCATGTTGCTCATTGCTTTGCATGGAATGTTGAGGGATATGTGGTTGAGGATAAGCAGGTAGGGGAACTGGTGGAATCTGACTTGGGGCAAAAATTCTGTTGGTTCATATTCTGCATAGACCAGGTATGAACTGTAGCTAAATTAGGATGAGCAGTAGATGTGGGGTACCGACTCTGTGATTGGTCACCTTGATGAACTTGTGGGCTCTGTGAATGCATAGACTGACTGGGACAACCTTGACTCACAGGCATTTGTGTGCCAGTTTCATTTCGCGGATACTGCCTGTTTGGAGACATCTGTTGCCTTTGATGCAGCCTTTTATGAGAGTACCTTCTATGGCCAGATTTATTTGCTCGATGAACTCTGTCAGCACTAATCCTTTTATTCCAGCTTCCACCATCATCTGGAGGTGTCCACTGCAAAAGTAGCTCTGTTTTCTTGATGTTCTGCTGACTTGCCAAAGATTAAGGACTTACCATTTCAGTCTGAATTCCAGCAGAATCAGATTGTAACACCCCCAACCCGTATCCAACCCGGATACGAGTTAGAGATATTACATTGACTTTTAAAACACAACTCATTACAAATAATAGCAAAATATTTGAACTTATATTACGAAAAATACAATAATATACATATGGTAATATAAGTTTACCAAAATATTCAGAGCATACACAATTTAACTCTTTAGTTACATGCCAACATCCATTTTCATAACAAAATGGCATACTGATTAAGTTGCTTCTGATCTGATAGTTGCAGGAGTAATGTTGTCCAACTGCTTAACCTCGATCGTCTACTTTATCGGATCCTACGTATGAAACACTCACACATTAAGTCATCGACTTAGTGAGGCAATATAATAATAATATCGATAGATATAAAATAATTGCCAAAATAAGATGGGTTGCAATGATAAGATGTATGTAAACAATGCAATAACCAGAACCATGTTTCTTACACATATACTTATCAAATTCACATTCATAAGTTCGCCTTAGTAAGTTCATTAGCCCATGGTACCATACAGAGAACCTAAGGTATGTGAGTATTGTGAGGTTGTGCACTATGCTGTCACCACAGCTCATATAATTGCACCTAAGTGCCACGTAGAATTGCACCGGAGTGCCGCGTAGAATTACACCGTAGTGCCATATAATAATGTCCATAAGGACCACATATCATTCCTTAAGAATCATATACATATGCCAAGGATCAAGTATGTGTCTCACCAGACCTCACACATGTTCCAAAGAATACATATATGTCCCGAAGGACCACATATCATTCCTTAAGAATCATATACATATGCCAAGGATCAAGTATGTGTCTCACCAGACCTCACATATGTTCCAAAGAATACATATATGTCCCGAAGGACCACATAGACCCTCTACCCTTGACATGTTAACTATACCTATAGTTCTCATTTACATAACATGGGCTTTCACAATTTATCTTATTTGTATCACGTAGACATATTATTTTCATACCTTTATCACATAACTCATATAACTTTTTCTTGCATATTCATGTCCCATAATACATATGGTATGGATTAATGTCATATATCATAATATGAAATACTATCATGTATCAAAATATTGAATCTAGACTTATCACAAGTCTAGAACTGAATAAAATACATATTCATGCTATGCATATGCACTCACCTAGATTCTTTGTCTTTCCCTCGATTGATCCTACTTGTTGATGGTTCCGGAACTCGTTTAGGCTCGATATCTACATAGTAATTCATTGATACTTATCAGTATACTAATTAATATATTCTAAACTATCATTTCTTAGGCTAAAAGAAAAATAATTTTCATCTTTTAATGGAGGTATGCATCGATGCATAAATCCTATTCGATGTTTGTATTTAATGGGGATGCATCGATGCACTCCTTATGCATCGATGCATAAATCCTATTCGATGTTTTCTTTTTAAATTAATGCATCGATGCACTGCATGTGCATCGATGCACCTTAAACAATTTCTGGGATTTATCATCGATGCATCGGTGCACAATGAATGTGCATCGATGCACATTGCCCAGAATTGTCATTTTAGCACGAAAATCTCTTCTTAGTCTACTTAACACTTTATATTTCCCCTCTTTATATATCCTTAACTTGCATACTCTTACTTAAACTAATTATTATCCATTCCATACTTTTTGAAACTTAAAAATCCAATTCTCCATGTAGAATTTAAGAATCTAACCCAAATTCCAACATGTTATAATTTGAATTCTAACACCTCATACTTCTTAGTTAGCTTTATGACAAGTCAAATTCCACTTCTAATTCTTATTAGGAACTCTAATCCAAGATTTCACTTTTCTACTTCCTTTCTTTGATTCTTCATATTCTCCTCATCTTATGGTTTTAAGATAATCTAAGCTTTCCTTAAGCTTAGTTATCAACTAAGGATCAATAAGAAACCTTAAATTCATCAAGAATTTAATCAACAAGAAAACTCACATTTAGCTTGGTCTCTCGATGGAGAAGAAGAAGTGAAGAAGAAGAGAAATCTGGAAACTTTTGTTCTCTTCATTTGCCTTCCACGTGGATTTAAATATCTTCATCTAATATTTAATTATTTCCCCTATTAAAAGACTCCTTTACCCCTTTAGTTCCTCCTTCTTTGTTAATTGATCCTACACAAAACATTCCCATTTTTTTTTTGATAGGAATGGAAGGCCTCGTTAAAAACCTCCTTCTTGATTAAAGGAACTTAGTGGTAAGCTCCTTAATCAGCGGAAGGAGGAAAAGAGTGCCTTAAAAACTTTATTGATAATATAATCTTACATAAGATTTAAACACTACACCACAATACATCCCATAAAACTTAACAACAATTTTCTAATAGACCTTCTCGCTGGACCAGAAAATCCAGTGACAGGTCCTTACAGTCAACCTATCCCTTTCTTAGCTAAGCTATCAGCCTCCCCATTGCTCGCTCTTGGAATCCACCTCACTGAATGAACCTTGCCATTTGAAAGAGTCAAAATTCTGATTAACCAAAGACAAGTAGAAAACAGGAGCCAAAGCCGGTGATTTAATCCATTCCACTACCGACTTGCAATCACTCTCAACAATCAATCTCCCAACAGAAACCCAAACTGAAGCCAGAAAAATTTCAATACCCCTTTTAATAGCCTTTAATTCAGCTAGCGGAGGAGTAACTTGGTCTACTTTCTCTGAAAAAGTCAAAAGCGTGCAACACTCCGAATCTCTCAATATACCTCCTATACCTCCACCCGAGCCTCCAAGCCTAACAGCTCCATCAACGTTCATCTTAAGAAATCAAGGGGGGAATCCAACGCAGATTATGACCAACTTTGACTAAAGTTAGAGAAACCCATCTGCTAGAGATGGATTACCAATTAGCAAATCCTGAATATTAACCGTAGGAAACTTGGCTAAAAACCATTTTGATAGCCTGAATCTAACTGTAAAGAACAGAGACATGCTGTCCAGGTTAGAACCTTCGAACACTATAGCATTCCTGGCTTTCCAGATTGACCAGAAGATACACCTGGAATAAACTTCCATATCGTCGAGTTTCCCCTCAACTCACCCCAGGAACTAAGCAAAGCATGAGGGTCTTGAGGAAGAACAAACGA